TCTGCCGGTATTGGGCCGCTCGTCGTAGCCATCGTATCCCGCAACTTGTCTTGTATCCTCTTCAGCTAGAGCAGGAAAGGCTTCGGTGTTCAATGCATTGCTCGACGAGACCTTGCGTTGACCACCGAAAGACGGACGCTCAGATTGATCTATCGGTGATGCTGCGTTGGTGGAAGCTCGCGACCGCTGCTCGCCCTGGCTTGTTCGTGAACCTGCTCTCTTCCGTTGCGAGTCTTCGTTCCATCCGTCAGAACCAAATGAGCCCTTTCTGATGTCCGTTATCGAAGGTGCTTTGGCGGCAGTCGTTCCTGCGGCAGCCCACATGCCGGGCGGCGGGTTCACGTCCATCAATTTACCAGTCGCGGTACGGATCTTGTTCGAGACGATGGAGGCATTGGTGGAGGTTCGTTCGCGCGTCTTGGTTGAGGGCGACTCTGCGGTAGGGCTCGCTGCATTGGGGTTGCGAATGCCCTCAGGCTGAGGGAACGGCACTGGCGTTGGTACGTTGCTATTCGGGGAAGCCATGACTGGTGAGAGTGAAGTGCACGCTCGCGCTTGTTTTGTAGGGGATTCGCCCCGTTGAAGCGCGTGTGCGGTTCGACGTGTCAGCCAAGTGGTTGATCGTTGGTACGATTGGCAATGACACAGTGCCTTGGCGAGATCCCTGCTTTCCGTTCGCTATCACTTGGGCCGGTATAGGGGTGCTTGTATGAAACCGGCTTCGAAGAATAGCAGGAGCCGTCTGAAAATCGACATGGTTGCGAGTGCTGGGCACCCAAGGTTATATGGTGTTGGCGCTGGCGTGGAGGGAAGGAGACGGCCTAGATTGTTGTAGACGCGGCTCCTGCCAACCCCAGACCCACTGACGTGCAGCGCGTATAAGCCACCGTTAGATGCCCGGGTGGCTATACGAATACGCGAGAGGTACTTCGCCACACGTAATGGCGTCGCAGTCCGCGCGTCACGGTTAGGCTTGCGAGATACATTAGAGTCTTGGGTGATTATTGTTCTTCGTTTATGTATCGTATTCAGCAGAGTTTTACTGCGAATGCACCTTTCTACAATGGTCCCATCGTTCGAGTGCATGCAGTATTGGCAACCGGAGTCGCTCCGACGCGCACCAACGCAGCCGTCGCATTGACAACACAAAACAAACAACTGATTTGAACAGTCTGACACCCTCGTTCTCAACCCAGTACTCACAAGAAAGCCAGAGCGCCGGCAATAGCGACAACGACGGGCATGTCGCGACCCCTCGCTGCGGCAGCGTTTTCTGTCTGCTCTGGTAGACCAGAGCTAGTCGCACTCGCGGCCGAGCCAAGGCTCGAAGAAGGCGTGTCAACAGCGCCGCTAGAGATGGGAGTCTCGCCCTCAGGAATTGACATGGCGCCAGTGGAGTCTTGAGGGGGGATTGATACGTCCGTTACAGTGGGCATAGGAACAGGCGTTGTGACGACGGAGATGCCAGACTGTGGTGGAATTGACACGTCCGTCACGGTGGGCATGGAAACCGGAGGGATGACGGACACGTCCGTTACACTGGGCATAGAAACCGGGGGAACGCTCATCATGCTGCCGGTGCCTACTATTGTTAAACACATTGCGCGACAGGCCGAAGAGGATGTACTTACATGCCGGGCATGGAGGCTGAACGCACTCCATGTAGCACGACCATGGGTCGACATCATCAGTAGCGGTCTGAGTCTGAATAGTATACAGTGCTTCAGACTCCGGCGTAGGACTGACGAATGGCGAGGTCGCGACTGAGGGTGTATCGTCTTGGGCAACGGCAACGCTAGCCAGAAGCAGAAGTGTGGGGATGGAGATTGCTGCGAGCATGACGACGGTCTTGCGAAGATGGTTGAATGTTTCTTGGAAGTTTCGAAGGAGTCTTGAACTGCGAAAATAACCCAACTGCACAAGCTATAAGAATGGACGCTGTCTGCTGCCTAGGCCGCGTCGCCCCTTCCCATAGTCGCTCGGCAGCCTTCGCGTGACTGGCGGGGTGTTTTTTGAGATCTTCGCTCCTTCCACAACCGAGTAGCTTCGTCGACGTGCGAAACCTTGCACCACCAATAGTCCCCCAGCACTTCTCCGCGCCCAGCCTCCAGTATGACGACAGTCGCCGTAAAGACAGAGATGAAACGTGCCGTTGCGCCCGCCGCGCTGCAGACGTTCGTATCAATCGCTCCCGAGGCAGCCGCAGCATCAAGCCACCTTCCGAATGAGTTATCGCTCGCCCGCCAGATACTGCACAACCTCCAGTACCAGCACTATTGGTCCGACCTCCACGTACACACGCACTCACCGACTACTCACGAGCCCCTTCCCCGCCCGCTGGTCTCTGGGCTGCCCCCGCGCCGCCTCTACGTACACCCCGACGAGCAGGTGGAGCTGCTGAAGAAGGCCGACCGCGAACGGAAGGCGCGCGCCGAGGGCGAGGCAGGTGGCTTGGAGGTCAAGGCAGAGCCGGAGCGCGAATGGATACTGCCCACCAGGCTGAACGAGAAGTGGACGCTGCGTCGGCTGGCCCAGGTCTTCGATGCCATCACCATGGTCCCGCCGGCAGCAGACGCGTCGACAGTAGAGGGGGACCGCCCTACCAACCCGTGGAGAACAACCAAGCGCGTACTATTAGCGTCGGTGGACACGGACAGCACAGTCGTGTACTACATTGTGCACGATGGCGTCGTGAAGCCCCGCCAGAACTGAACAAGGCGTTGCGCCAGTTGTCGCACACATCTACTATCGCAGCACATATTGCACAGGCTGTCACGGAAAGGACATGTGCGAGATATTTCATACTGCTACGAAGGACTGAACATTTCTCAGCTACGTCCACTGACAAACTCAGCGTCCACGACCCTCATGGGATCTCAGGGAAGATGAAATCTCCCGGCTTCGGCATCTCGTAAAAACGACTCATGTTCACCTCCGTCTCCGGTGGGAGCTGGTGCGCCTCCGCCCACTCTCGAACCTGCTCATAGTCTCGGCATCGGTGCCTCGTGTTGAAGTCCACGAATGGCGTCGGGTCTGGCATAGTGTCGGCCTGCCACCACACCTGACCAAGTACACCTACGTCTGGATTACACATAAGCACCTGTCTTATTATATCCAAGCAGTGCGTCGTGTGTACTCGCACGATGTACTCGCTATTGACGAAGGGTCCTTCCTTCTTTGCCGAATAATAGGAATAGTTCCAATATAGTGTTTTGCGGAGAAGGTCCTTCGAAATGTTAGTGATGTACTGTCCGCTACCTGATCTTGCTGCATACCAGACAGTGCAAGTGATGGAGGCCTTCTACGTTCGCTGGGAAGCCACCTCCATACTCTTGGCTGACTTTCACCTGGTCGTGCCGCAATCCGGTTCGCTCAGCTTCGTCCTCGGGTATCACCACACTTCGATCTAGTACGGGAATCAGAACTGAGTGTGCGCGTTGCTGGTACTGCTAGAAAATCAACTTACAATTGACACCCAGCGCATCCCATGCAGCATCAACTTCTGGTCCCGCTGGCTGGCGATAGATGTTCTGATGGAGAAAGCTACCGTTGAACAACTGCGTATGCCAATTTGGTTTCACATCTCGGACAACCGGTGCTGTTGCCATCAGTAAGGACATATATTCTTCGCGAGTCCATTACATACAGTATCGCGAAACATGATGGATACAAAAGTCATCTGGATCGGAGATCAAAGCTGACCTGTTCACAGTGAAGGCTATCCACAAAGCAGCACCAACGTATACGATGGTACATGCTATGAGGGTCCTCACTGCGACTCGCACATCGCGGCTCGATCCTTCGAACGCTGGTGATTTAAGCGTCAGTAAGGTCGACGAAGAAGAGCCAGGCAAAAGAGTGTCGTCGTCGTCATGGCACTCCGAGTCGTGTTGGAGTAACCGCTCGTGCCGAGGACGATTGCGGAGGATGTCGAACATGAAGAGATTGCAGTTCAGATATACGCGTTCTGAGATCGGAAACTGGTCGACGATGAGAGAGTAGCAAGGAAATCGCGACAGACCTGCTATCGCAGCAAGCGATGCGAGTCCCCCCAAGTCGCTTTACCAGACGACTGGGACTCAACACCGTCTATCCCTATAATCTTCTATGTACGACATCCGTAACGAATTGGACATCAGTACGACTTAACCAGCCGTGTAGGACAAGCAGTGACACTGTGATGGGCGTCAGACATGTCAAACACGTTAGTCGTGCGATGTGAAAGGCGACATATATCACTCCGCTAGCAGCACCGCACCCTATCATATCTTTGGAATTCCCACTAACAGTATCCGACTTTCTTTCATTGAGGCATCAATCGCCGTACTGGTCACGATCGTACCGTACTATCGAAGAACCTGCGTAAAGGTACCCCAACGCTACCATAGCTTGACCGAATGACTTACTCCGCCTTACTGCTATGGAGATGCGCTCTGCACTCACACCGAATTGGGGTCACAATAAGCAAACATGTATGCCGGAATAACTATCACGACTTAATTGGGACACATGACGCTGACTCCATAGCAACGACGCACAGCTACACCTGTCCTGCAATCTTCACTCATCAACCAGTAGGCGTTATTACCGGAAGAGTACGTCTTGCTTGCTTCACTTGAAGGCGGTGTACATTGTTGAGCGCATCTGAACTACGTCTTCCCAAAAGTTCGGACCAATATCACTTTACCGATGTTGTCTTTGCACAACCTACAGCAGCGACTTCATTGCACCTGCGCGAGCTACGTGGTGCATGCTTCCCCGATGCTTGCATTCAATGCGAGCAGATACAATATTACGCGCATGCGGATGCAACCTTACGCCATGCTCACTACAGTTGGCCTCTGTAATGAGGTTGTACTCCATAGGCACTGCAAGCCGACATGTACAAAAAGGTGACTCCCGTGGCGAAACTGGGAAATCACTACAACAGTCTTCCCTCAAGGTTACTTCCTCGACATCCTTGAAAGTCTCCGCTGTCTCACGGCCGATCATTCCCTGCCATGCATCTCGAACTGGTTCTCGTGGGTCTCGCCGCCCTTACGGCAGCTATGCCACTCGATAAGAGGGGTGACGACTCCGCGAATCAAGCCCAAGATATCAACTACAAGGAATACGCCGGCTACCGCCCGTACTATCAGTACGGAGATTATTCTTCACCAGCCGAAGCAGAGGCAGCGAAGATGCAGCAAGCGTACGCTCAGTACGAAGATTATTCTTCACCGGCCGAAGCAGAGGCAGCGAAGATGCAGCAAGGTACGTTCTCTCGCCCTCGAACCTTCCGGACAAAAGCGATTCTAACGGTCCAGTAGAATCAGCGGCCACGAACATGAAGCGCGACGAACCCTTATCCAAACAGGAGGTGTACGATAAGTACGACAAGTACGAGACCTACGGCGTCTACTACGAGAATTACAATCCGTACCCTGCTTCTGTAGAAGCCGAAGCCGCGAAGATGAACGCCAAGATTGAAAAGCGCCATATCGTGGATATGCCCAAGGATATGATGGATCAAATGGCCAACAGCGAGAAGCGTGATGAGCCTAAGGAGGTTCAGGCTGCAGGGGACTCTTGGTACCAGTCTTACATGTAAGCTTCTTCTCCTCCTTCTTTCTTCTTTCGACGTCGCTCTTCCCTAGACTTTCAACGTTATCTCAAGCCTTCTTCATTGCGGTCATGCTCGTCTTTATACAAAGGATCAATGCTGACGCGGTACCTTCCCTCCTAGCCCCTACTCAAACTACGGCAAGTACAGCGGCGCAGCTGAGGCTGGAGTCGCCAAAGCTGGATGCATCATGGCTGCGAGTGGCTGTGTTGAATGAGCCTTAGGCAAGGGTGATGGCTTGCTGCATGAAGCAGTGTAGGATGCTGCACAGTAACGATTGCCGTGTCTTTTGCGATGATGGTCGCGCTGTCGCTCGTTTGTATGTAACGCTGCTAGAGGGATCGTAATGAAGGGATTGGAAATAAAAGTGTCGCTCCTTGTATGTGGCTCTTTGATGATGTTTGGTGATTTGGCTTCATATTTTGGTCCGTTTGACTGCTTGACTGGTAGTATGTATCATGAACTACCATCACCTTTAGATTTTGGTATCCTAATCATCTCATCCTTCAGAAGTGGCTCAACAATACTTTTGCCAAGTAGCAAACTTCTTTATAGGCTTGGTTGGTAATGGCAGGATGTAGCAACAAAGATTGGATCGACGTGATCGTAAAGGGTGAACACTCCACCTTCGCTGGGACTACTACACCCTCACTGCCAGGCTAGCCATGGTATTGGCTCGGTCGTTCGTGTCAATGCAGTCGTGCATGGCTCATCGGGTACGCGCCATCGGGATGTGGAGCAGCCTGGGTACACTACACAGAACTACTCCTACGGATGAACGTCTGGCGTTGGCGCATGGGTAACAAGGCCGCCCCTAGTAATACCCGATGACATATAGCATTACAGATATCGTTATGCGTGGGATGCAGAGGATTCAGGATTCAGCAGCAGGATCTATTGATCTTGTTGGATCGATCGGCTGTCGCGTATGACCGTATAGGCGCTTGCTCCATCTTCCCATATCGAATATCGGTAACCTCGGCTCGAGCTGCATATGGCCCCAACAAAGCACACATCTAGTCCTAGAGATGCAGCGTGTAGTGCCAGCGAACCAAATGCAGTATGAATCGCATTCCAATACTACGTCTGAGAGGTTCGCCCATGTGCGCGTGGTCAAGTGTACAACACGAGATGAAGAAATATGGATAAATCAGCCACTCATATTATGAGGGTGACGTGCAGGGATCAGTGTAGAACGGCCCCCTCTCAAGACAAATGCAATTACGAACCAGGAAAGATGGGTTATCTCGACTCCTGAACCGTGCCCGCAGAAGGCAGCTAGAAGGCCTGTCATGGTTCAGTCCGTAACGTTAAACTGGGGGCAGGGGGTTGGTCGTGTCGACACGCCCGAATCGATGACGCACCCGAGACGAAAAGCCCACAGGTGCCTACCTCTGGTCCTAACAACGAACGTGTATGTATGCGCCGCAAATATTGAAACGCATTCTTCCGGTGGTAGTCGCATTTCCTACTTTGCAAATGGTCCACTTGGCCAAGTTAGATGGTGATGGTTGTGCACTACCCTCGTGATGCACCCGCCGTCCATGTTTGTAGGCAACATCGTGGCACCAGGCTTAAGCGACCGGCGCACAGTCTCGCGCGAAAGGGCGAAGCCGGAGATTGGACGCAAGTGGTCGAATCGGAAAATAAGACATATGGGTTATATAGAAGCGCAATGTAGAGCTCATATACCTCGCGTGCGTCTAACGTGTCGCAACGTTGAACAGGGCGGGCGCCCCGCAGCATAGCGACCACCTGGCACACGACGGGTCCCGCCGTCAGGCTCGCCAGCCACAGCGCACCGGGCTCCACGGAGATGCGCTCGTGATGTGCAGAGCCGGTGTAGAGTTATACATCATATATGTGCATATGAGGCGCCTTACAGCGATGTATGAGGATAGGCAGCGTACAGCCTGGGCGGCGATCATGGTCCGCTCGAGGCTTGGTGGCACTGGAAACTGCTTTGTGATGTCTGAATAATCAGCACCGGGTCTCGACGTGCAAGGATTGCCATGTGGGGAAGGACAGGATTCTGTGGCTTGCATCGGCCAACGTGCGGCCAGTGACTTGAGTGGGCCGACGAGTTTGATCGCGGTTTAATCGGACGTCGACGGGAGGCAAGCGTACGAATCGCAAGGGCGCCATTACATGGCCATGCTTCCGTCCCTTGTAGAGGCGGCATGGGGAATGCAGCCATAGTATAGGCGGAGGGATAGGCCGCAGCAAGCACCTCTTGGAAGGCTTTCATACATCACCCACCGTCGTCATACCTCGTTTCTTGTCTCATCCAGCCCCGAGTTGTGTCGGCCTGGCTGCGTGCTGCTTCTCTGCTCCCGTCGCGCGTGCTGACGCTCAATCCACCTCCCCACATACCCAACTCGCGCTTTGATATAGAGACTAGCGCCCCCACTGGACTCCAAGCAAGGGCCGTAACTATCCTGTGGAGAAGTCGGAGCTTACCATTTCCCCTTCTTCGGCCGGCGTTCCGATCCAAGCACACGACGTTTGGACGTCTCGACGCCTGATTCTGCCTGCGATGTTGTTTTGGGGCCTTGGGTGCAGGCGCATATGAAATATTTCTTCTTCTGATCTTGAAGTTTGGAACCTGATGTAAGACTGACTGCCTCGGCGCTACGCAACAGCTCCACGACGGCAGGCAGTCGTCGAGAACATGGCCGACTCCGGCGCAACCGCAACCTCCATAGCCACGCCCTCCCACGCGCGCTTCGACAACGACGACTCGCTCCTGCTGGCTGAATTCGGCTTGCCTGAACTTCGAGCCTCTCCGAATGCGACTGGGACTAGTCCGTCTAACATTATGGGCTCGTTTTCCGACTTCGACATGACGTTTGCGCAGAGCCAAGGATTCGCGTCCAATTTCGACGGCATACAACCAAAGATTGAGGCTGGATATGCGGACCACAGAGGCAGCGTCGGCAACATGAGCGAAGAGGGTATGAGTGGTGGCGGGAGTGCGCATCCAAATCGGATGAGCATTGGAGGAAGCCCCGGCCGCGACGGAAACAACACCAGCCCCGAGAGCGCACCTGCCATGGGTATGCTCGCAATTGGCGAGTCGATGAATGATGCTTCGGCACATGCCATGAACAGCGGCAATGACGGCACAAACCATTCGACTACATCGCGAAGGAGCAAGGACGATGCGCAAGATCCGCCACTTTGGAGCGAGATGAAGACAAAGGCTGGCAAAGAGAGAAAAAGGCTGCCTCTCGCATGCATCGCATGTCGGAGGAAAAAGATTCGCTGCTCAGGCGAAAAGCCAGCCTGCAAGCACTGCCTGCGGAGCCGGATACCGTGTGTCTACAAGGTCACCACTAGGAAGGCTGCACCGAGAACGGACTACATGGCGATGCTGGACAAGAGGCTCAAGCGCATGGAAGATCGTGTCATCAAGCTGATACCAAAGGAAAGCTTGCCTTCCGTTGCGAATGTGGGCAGATCCGTCGTTAAGCCCGCTATCCCCGGCGCCCCACCCAAAACACCCACCACGAAGAAGCGCGCCGCAGAAGAAGCCTTTGGCAACGAGTTGGACGAATGGTCGAAAGCAAAAGGAGGAGATCCAGAAATCGCTGGGTCGACATCGCACGGCAAGGAATCAGATGAGAGCAAGCTTCTTACGGAAGGCGCGGAGAGCTTGCCGTCGAAAGAGATCCAAGAACACTTAGCTGAGGTGTATTTTGACTTTGTCTACGGACAAAGCTACCCACTCCTACACAAGCCGAGCTTTATGCGAAGACTAGCAGCTGGGAAGGTTCCGCCGGTACTGATACTAGCAATGTGCGCCATATCGGCACGATTCTCGAACCACCCACAACTACGGACAGAGCCATGCTTCCTACGGGGCGACAGTTGGGCTGAACGAGCGCGCGAGATTGCCCTGAAACGATACGACGCACCGAATATCACCATCTTGATAGTCTACCTACTACTAGGGCTTCATGAGTTTGGCACATGTCAAGGCGGACGGAGTTGGATGTTTGGTGGTATGGCGCAGAGGATGGCATACGCACTGCAACTGCACAAGGAGAACGAGTACGATCCGCTGGTCAACGAGCCAGACAGGAAACCCCTGAGCGCTACTGACCGCGAGATACGGCGGAGGACCATGTGGTCTTGCTTCCTGATGGACCGTTTCAACTCCTCCGGTACCGACCGACCACTCTTCGTACACGAGCAGTACATCGAAGTGCAATTACCAGTCAAAGAACACCTATACGTACACGAGATACACGCGCCCACCGAGAACTTAGAAGGTGACGTGCCGAACCCCGTTCCACCTGACAGCGGTCAACTGGCGAATCCGCGCGATAACATGGGCGTCTCGGCATACACCATACGATTAGTCTGCATATGGGGCAAGCTCATCAAGTACATGAACCTGGGAGGAAAAGAACGCGAAGCAGAGCCCATGTGGTCGGCCGATTCGACCTACAACGCGATCAAGAAAGAGGCGAAAGAGTTCAAGGCTGCACTACCTGAGATGCTTGTCTACAATCCGGAGAACTTGAAGAGCCATGCGATTGGCAAGACTGCGAACTCGTTCTTGTATCTTCACATCTTATGGCAACAGATTATGCTGTTCATGCACAGGTTCGCGCTACCTTCGACTGCAGGCAGCAGACCACCGAAAGACATGCCGCACGACTTCCTCACCGAGTCCGCCCGCTCCGCGCTCGATGCCGCGAACCAGATTTCAATGCTCATCAACGAAGCCATGGACCACAACGTCGTCGCACCATTCGCCGGCTACTCCGCCTTCTTCTCCTCGACCGTACACGTCCATGGGGTATTCTCGAAGAACCCGAAGCTCGAAGCGCAATCGAAGAAGTACCTGGCATACAACGTCAAATACCTGACAAAGATGAAGAAGTACTGGGGCATGTTCCATTACATCGCGGAAAACCTGAAAGAGCTGTATCGTCAACACGCCGACGCGCAGCTGAAGGGCCCGAATGCGAGCGGCGAAAAGAAGAAGGGTAGCATATTCCAATATGGCGACTGGTTCGATCGATACCCGCACGGCGTTTCGAAAACGGACTACGAAGATGCAGCTGAGTCGAATCCGAATGAGCCAGGCACTGATGCTGTTCTGGGGCATAAGAGCGACCTGCAAAGTGTGGAAGAGTTCTTCGCATCGCTATCTCCACCGTCGAAAACCGATCAGCAACGCAAACAAGCGCGCAAGAACAAGTCGAAGTCGATCTCAAAACCTGCTGATCTCGCTTCGGCAAACCTACAAGATCTGCCACGCTTACAACGGCACAACAGTCAATCTCAGCAAAACCATGCCGCTCGACTGCAAGCGCAGCAGCAAATGAACATCAACATGGCCTCGCAAGACGCAATCGATGCCGCCATCGCCGCCGGCTACGACCCCGCTGCTCTCTTCGCCCAACAACAGCAACAACATGCTTCACCCCAACAATTCCTCGCCGACTTCGCAGGCTCCCACCACGCGCACCAACAGCACCCTCACCACCCATCGCTTCCCCTCATCAACACCTCACCAACGATGATCCACCCCTCACACGCCCACCAAATGGATCCCACGAACCTATCACCTTTCCCCGATCTAGCCACCGACTTCAACAACTCTTTCTGGAACCTCGAAGCCATGGGTCTGGGTAACAATGCGAACAATAACAACTTCTTCGATCCGATGAGCAGCTACTTCGTGCCGTTCAATGTGGAGCCCCCACCACAACACAGTCTAGGCGACGACGGAGTTTTCTCCGGACAGGGAGCTGAGGCGTATGGATTTGCGCTGGGCGCGGGGACACCTGTTGATCTGGATATGATGCATGGTGGTGGAGGGGCGAGGATGCACAGGGGGAGTGTTAGTGGGGGGAGACCGAGTTTGGGGAGGAGGGGGACGGGATTGGAGTAAAGGGATGATCTTCTAAAACGACCTTGATTGGGGTCATTGGTATGGGAAAATTAATGTGGGGATGAATATCAGGTATATACCATCGGGCGGAGTTCTTGATGATACGAGGCTGTGTATATGGTGTCGGCGCAACTAGGAATAAGGCCTCAGGGACTGGGTTGTTCTTGTTCAAAAGCGCAACTGTATTTCAACTTAGTTCTGCAATACAATTTTACGCATCTAGAATTCTTTCTTGAGATTTACGTGTGCCAAAGCAGTGGCGTGTGGACGAGCTCATACCTTTAGGCAGCAGCTCCTTCACCTTCACTTATATGCTGCGCTAAAGACAAATCGGGCGCGACTCAGTTCTTTCCGCGGTCACCTTTCATTATTTCGACTGCGTTTACAAGTGAGTGACACTCGTTAGCGCCGATGACGCACCCGCGCCAAGCCTCGCCTGCTATAAAGTCTTCGACCCTCCAACCAAACTCTTACTCTTACCCACAATCCCCATCCTCCCTTCCTCATCTTCTTGCAACACGAAAAGAACGCCCAACACGACTCTACAAGCAAGCCTACAAATCTGGCTCGGACAGGGCCAATCACGACAGCTATTACCCCATTCACTTCTTTCTCAATTTCCTGGTCACTATACCCTATCCGTTTCAATTCTCTTTGCAATGCACTTCGTGCGGAGTTTCCTCGACGGTTATGACAACGACTAGTCAGCCAGGCTCCCACTATCCCTCAGCTCATTTGTTACTATCTCGAAGTGTCCCGCGAGTCTCTAGATCGCCTTACGGTGTGAAAACGCCTAGTTCAGGTACAACGGTTATGCGTGCATGAACCAATGGGCTCGCCGGCAGAGGGCGTTGAACAGCCCACGAGGCTGACCACCTCACTGCTGAGAATTTCAACACATCGACAATTGCCTATCGGGAGGCTAGCTCGTGGCGTTGGGCGGCGGCCACAATGAGCGAAGTATACCTGTTATCAGGGAGCTGCCCACATTTTTTTTCATTGATTCATTGAACTTGTTCAACTATCGAGGAAGAGAAGCTGTCTTTGGATACCTGTCTTGACAAATATCTTTATTACTTTCATCTTGTTGATCATAACGATTGTCTCAGTGACCGAAGATATCATGAGGGCTTCTAAGTTCTTGAAAGGATGTACGTATCTAGATATTCAGGCTAGCACTCCGCTCTGACACCGACTCTTTATGGAAATCGCGCTTCCCGGGGAAAGTGAAAGTGACTCTGTCAGGGCGATTGTTCCAGAACCTGCCGAGACAGCGCAGCTTATGGACCCTTTTTTAGAGGTCCGTTTGCACACTCGTCCGCTAGGAGCTTGGTCCTCTTTAGTCACTCCCATCACACGCGTCCACGACTTCGTCTTCGATCATTGACTACACGGCTATTCACAGCAGCAGAGACGATGTCGCGGGGTGGTGGCAAGAGTGGTGGGAATCGGAATCGGTACGTGCAAATGGCATATGAGACATGAGAGTCGCTAACATCGCATAGAAAGTACCGCGCAATTGGACCTTCCCCGACGCAGCTCAAGTTCATCGAGGGTTTGAGCAGCTTACCACAAGAGCTTTTGAACACCGTATTCCGTTACATATTCCTTAACGACTACTCGCCCAGCATCGTGTACAAGCTCGGGCTGTTACGTGAATGCAAAGATGTCCGCATAGTGACCGCACTCAAGGAGAGTATCGACATGAATACTATGATCCGTGTCGGCCGCCGAAACCGATCAAGAGAGTTGATCTCGCAGCACTGGTGTTCTCTAGGCCGACTGGAGAATATCGCCATAACCGTTCCCGATTCAAAGGCACCCGTCGTCAACCCAGATGACGTCAAAGCCGAGTTCCAAAAGCTCATCTCCAACATCAACGTTCATTCGCTCCGCTCTCTCTACTTCACGACCTGGTCACGCTTGGATAAAGACAACTACGCTACTCTTTCGCACTTCATGTTGTCTGCTCCGTCGTTGCGCAATCTCCTACTTCCAGCAACCAGCTACAAACATACACGAGGCGTTAAGATCAACACATGCCTCAAGTACGACGACGGCACTCAACTCTGGACTCGAATCAATGCCGACCTTGAAATAGCGAAAATCTTCCTTCAGCGAGAAGGATTGCGCAAGCTAAATTCCATTACACTGGTTGGCCAGACCGACCCCAAAGTCAATGTCGCTCAAACTGAAGATATTCGCCGGTTCTTCGAGCTGACGGAGTCCGCAAGCCATGAGACTCCAGTCCAGATTCAAGAGCTGTTTGCAATCGGCGTTGATCTCGCTGAAGTTACAAAGTTTGTCTCATTGAGTCATTTGAAGCATCTGTTCACCTGGGATTCTGATAATGTCTTCGAGGCTTTCTCAGGCTGTGAGTCTGCATCGCTTCTAATCGAGAGGCTCAATTGGGTTCACACCAGAACGGCGATTCGTATGAGTCAGAGGAATGAGGAAGAGGTGCTTGCTTTCTTTGCTAAACTCATACACTTGAGGCGGCTTCGCATCCATCATCGATCGCAGTTGTACATGTGGTACTTTCGTGAACATTTACACGAGTATCTCACCAGGGAACTTGAGAGCGCATCAATGACATCTGGAGATACATATCATCCAAAGTTTCACACACGTCAACCAGAGGAGATATGGGGTTTCCAGTATAAAGGTCTCAAAGACATCAATCTCGCCTTGGGTGGAGTTCATAAACCCTTCCAGGGTAGAGACGCCGCGGAGAATGCGCACTTCAAATCTGTTATCGAGAGATATGTCGTAAGTCACCTTCCCCATCAATTTATTATGTTTTCTAATGCATTCTAGAAGAGAGTGAGTCACTGCAAGAAGCTGGAGATCTTTGCTCTGAGTGGTTCGCAAGATACCATACAAGAAAAGAAGTGCTCCAGTGGGCCAGTTGTTCGAGCATACCGAGAGGTAGCCCAACAAGCCGCCAACGCCTTGAAAGAAGTTGGCTTGAACCCCAGTATCATCTCAATGCATGTCCGTATAGAACGTAGGCTGCAAGGTCAAGGTCCAAGATTGCTGGAAGAACCTTGGCATTATCGCGTTACATATCCCCAGGGAAAGGAGCCAGTGCTCAAAGCTCTGAAGACCGCAGACATCACGCTGAGCGAATCGGAACGCCTCTTCAATCTTGGTCTAAGCAGCACCCACAACTTCCATAGCTATCTCGACAAACAAGCTCCAATGATGCCTTCTTGGAAAAAGACACTCAAGGAACATTGGGCTATGCAGTGGCTGGCGGAATATGCAGGGACGTAAAGACAGAACGCAACTATGCGCAGCGTCCCAGATGTTTAGACCGGTTGGGGATTGCACAAGGGGGGAGGCTTGAATATCGAACGCATATCCTTGTCGCTCTCACTCGGCGTTGTATCTGGTGGAACGTTGGGAATCGGTTGGGCAATCTGCAAGAGAAGCTTGCAAGACGGGTTTGCAGTAGCAGGTTTCATTGTTGGCATTCAAGCTATAACAGTCGCTAGTTTACAGCTGCTGTTGGCTGTTGAAACGGTATAATGCGACTTTTGAGCCAGTGGAAGATCCTGGAACTCACCTATTGGCAAAGACCGCAGACGAAACGCTGGTTCAAAACTCTGGTCTATCGCGACCAGTTCGATTCTTTCGTATGTACTGGACATGTGTGAGTAACCTCCCATCTGAATCCTCCAGGCTCCTGCGTCTGCCACAAAACGAGGATGTGACATTGCGATATCAAGTTGGGCTTATACATCTCGCCTCCTCTGTCATCATTATTGTGTTGTGACACACGCGCATCTTGGGACAACATCAAAAAGAACATCGCTGATAAGTGAAAGGTGTGTGGGTTCGAAGGATTCGGCCACTATATGGAATACAAACCCGGCGCGATAGACGAACTTGCCACGAAACTTCGGGGTGGAGGATACAATGTTACCCTCGAGCCGTGGAATCCCTTAGATATCTGGTACAGTTCCTTTCAAACAGCTATACTGTGGCTGCAAGTGAGGATAAGAAACTTATGTAAACAACATTGGATCGCCACACTCTATAAAACACCAAGAAGAGCATCAGTCGTAGTCGTGAAGACCGATAACGATATCGATAAAACGCACGTATCTGTCTTGGGTGGGCCAGGCAGGACCCCGGCACTTGTGTCAAACACTAGTAGCAGCGGGGATTCGAGAGCGTCTTCTAGTAGAGCTCCTGCGCAAACTCAAAGCACTACAAACCAAAGTACATACTCCTCTGGTACATCAGTGCCGCTTCAAAGCGTCTCAGTGGCTTCGTCGCAAGTGGCAGCAGGAAGTTTGACGAATCCGTCCAACGTTACAATTCCTTCATCTAGCAATTTCATTCACGTTTGCTTCAAAGTGGGAACATATCTGAAGCTTCGTCACGACCTGCGATTGGATGTGATCACTCGAGATCGTGAGCTCTTTCAGGCGCTTCGTAAAGCATATGCTGGAAGGTTCTCATGGACTCATCGCATGTTTAGCCTGCAGACTGTACAGAAGATCAAGTTCGTGCAGGTGAGAAGCAGCTGCAATAGTGATTCCATAGCTAACAATGTGCGCAGTTCAAGCTCTGGCGACGCAATGAAGTCGACAATCTGAGGTACGGCGTGCCATCGGTGACAGAACAGCATTATGCTTTCGAGCCCAATCCCCCAGATTACGAGCCTATCTTGGACAACGATTTCCTCATGCATCGATTCACGTGCTCGGTAGAGGAGGACTGCATGGAGGACACGGTCTGCTTCGAGCGCATTCCCAAACGCGTAGACCGCCCGGTACCATGAAATCACAGCGATGCTCCGGATCTTGGTATAGGCTGGGGCTTACAGCTACAGGAAAGATATTCGAACCGCGTATGCATCGTCATTCTGATCAGCGTTCTTGCTGGCGCTATCATCGGAATCATCTGGTCAATCCTCGCAAAAGACTTGCAGAGTGGATTCGTTGTCGCCAGCTGGATGATCACTAGCGAAGCCATTATCGTCAGTTCGGTGCAACTACTACTGATCTTCCGGACGGTATGAAAGAGGGTTGTCGAGTGATGCGATGTGCAATTAAACATAGCACAATTAGGACTGCCTGGGTACGCAGTGAGACCATAGTGAGCAGCGCCGAGTAGATGTTACCACGTCCGAACATAGCTTTCGAGCGAGCTTTTCGCGCCGCCTGCCCCATTTCGGCCACTCCACTCCATCAACACCTCGACCGATCCACTTACCAACCATCGCAGCCACACCCAAAATCCCCACCCCAGCCTCGGATCACAAGATCCGTCGCATATCCTACCAGGGCTCGAGTTTGAGGGACCAGGCATTTCATGTTTGAAGATCGACCGTGTCGTTTGGTGAAACGCTAGTGGCGACGGGCCTGCAACATCATGCAGCTGCGGGTGGATCACGGCAACTAGTATTCGCCTACGCTGATGCTGAACAGGATAGTTGCGAGTGATTGGAAACCGATGATTTGAGTGTGTGGTTTTGCATGTTCGGAATCAACCGTGTTTGGTGCGACTTGTCATGCGCGCGGGGTGGAGTTACTCGTTTTGGTGCGGGCTGCAAGAACAACACCACGGTGCGATGGGCGTTACGACAGAGCCTCACACATGAGTAGCTCGTCAATACTGATCGTGACCTTCAGCATGGAGTATTTTTGACGTGAGTTGAATATTCTGATAGGTCAATAATGTGATGGTGGCATTATGTGAAACATACATGCGTTTGCTTGTTTAGTGGCATTCTGCAACTCCAAAGACAGCGTTTCGCAAATCCACGATCTTGCATTGAGAGTTTCCGCCTTGGCGCCTTTAGCCTTCGTCCCCAGGCGCAGACGAAACTGAGAATCGGAACGTTGACACCTCTCAGCGCCTGGGTAATCGGCACTCCGCCACAGCCAAGTATGGGAGGGAAACGCCTCACTGCCGCCAAGCACGTTTAGCCTTGCCGGAAGACCTTCGAAAACGCATCTTGACACATGAGCTTGCCTGTCTCCATACTGAATTGTACATGCCAATGACGAGCTGAGTGGAGCGGTGGGCGGCTGTCATCCCAATGGAGAATACGATGCGATGAAGATCGACAAGGCAGCTCAATGGGAAAGAGGTATAAGATGCCTTGTTGAAGCCGGCCCTACAATCATCATCAGCATTCAACTCTTCAACTCCTCTACTAATACTTCATTCTCCATTAGCCTGGTGCTTCTCGCTTCTCACTTCTACTTTCACCCAGCCTTATATTCTAATTCACCGAGTTGATCTCGAATCCAAATACACATATACAATATGCACTTCTCACCAGCTCTCGTCCTCGCCCTTGCGGCTGCCGTTTCTGCCCACGGTGTGGTCTCTGAGATCAAGGGTGCCAATGGAGTCACCATGCCTGGCTTGACTATCCAAGACGGAACTCCTCGTGACTGCTCCTCCAAGTAGGTCTCTCAACCTTCTATTCTTGAAACAGGTTACTAACCAATCTTCAGCGGCTGCGGTTCTCAAGCCGACACTGCCATCATCAGGGACCGCGAAATCTCCAGTGGCAAGACTGGTCCTCTTGGTCGCACACAAGGTAACGGCAACGTTGATGCTGCCGTTATGGTTGGTGCCTTCATGGGACAAGGTGCCGCACCTCCTGCGAACAATGGTGCTTCTGGAAGTGTTGGTGTCGAGGACAACATCCAACAGGCTGGCCAGAGGAAGCGTCAATTCCTCAGCGGTCTTCTTGGTGGAGGCGCTGGTGGTGCTGGTGGTGCTGGCGGCAAGGCCGGTGCTACTGGTATCGCTGGACTGCTCGGTGGAGGTGGTGACAAGGTCAACGGCCCACCAGAGTCACGCGTTGCTGCCGCAGTAGGAGCGGGTGCCACAAGCGGCATGCCCACTTGCGCTGACGATGGTACCGTCACCATGACTCTGCGCCAGGTAAGCGATCACTGCTACTCATTTCCACACATTTCTAACTCATTCCTTTCAGATCAACCAGGACGGTGCTGGACCATTCACTGCCGACGTTGATGGTACCTCAGGCGGTACTGACGAGGCCGCTATGCAGCCTGCTACCGTCACCCAGGACGTTCCTGGCCTCGGTGTTCAGGGTATCTCGCTCGCCACCAACACCGAGTTTGCCATGAAGGTACAGATGCCGGCTGGTATGACTTGCGACGCTACTGTTGCTGGTGTCAACAACGTCTGCGTCATGCGCGTCCGCAACGGTGCTGCCGCGGGTCCCTTCGGCGGATCTGTTGCTTTCACACAGGGCGCCGCCGCCAGGAAGCGCGCCATCGCTTACAAGCTCAAGAAGCGCATGGAGATTGGTAACAAGAACTAAGGTGGATGTGATGAACACTCTACCCCAATGTTAATACATGGACTGGCTGGTTCAGCGCCAACGATCGATGATGGAAATCGGGTACATATGGATAATGAGTATTGTAGAGTATAACGAATAGCAATGAATGCTTCATAAGAAAAGAAACATGCGTCCTTCTTGCACAAGTCCGGTGGTTGCTGGCGTCGGGATTAGTGGATTTAAGGGTGGCGGTTTACCGGGAGAAGTGCCGCCAAGGTGAAGGATCGAAAACCCACTAAGCTAAGCCTAAGGCGGACCAAGCTTATCGTAACTGCTATTCTGCCCCCGCCACCCGGTTGTTATCCTACTCTAATGCCATCAATCAACACGGCAACAAACAGTCCAAAGTTGGGACGATATGTAGCCTTCCAGCTTTGGAGCGCTTCTGTCATGATCGCTTTTCTTTAGGATGCTACGAAACTACTCAGACCCTGTTATCGCGCAATCCACAGTAAAAATCGCAACATGCACCAAGCCATAGTACGCTATTATTCGTCACAGATCTACCGTTCCCACGCCAAGTAAAAACTAGGAAGTCGCTTATAACGGTGGTATGCCTAGGTCTATGCGTCTGTCTCTCTGACCACCATTTTCCGGTTCGACATGGCCCTCCTTGATTCGAAAGCTCCCGCCGAGCACCCGTCGCCCACGGCAAACTATAGCGACGATGACTTCCAACGAATGGACCCCAGTGGAGTCAAGCGAGGCCTCAAAACTCGTCATCTGTCCATGATGGCGCTCGCTGGAATCATTGGGCCTGGTATTCTGGTCGGTACTGGTGGCGCCCTCGCAGAAGGAGGACCGGCATCTCTGCTCATAGCTTTTAGCGTTATCGGATTCATCGCTTTCAGCATTACACAATCCTTGGGAGAAATGACAACACTGTATCCTACTGGTGGTGCTTTCGTCACGCTTTCCGACCGATTTGTCGACAAAGCATTCGGAGTAGCGGTGGGATGGCAGTACTGGCTGGTGTGGGCATGTGTGCTAGCCAACGAGTACAATGTCATCTCCTCCATTCTGGTCTTTTGGGGTCCGGAGGTGCCTCTATGGGGCTACTTCCTAATCTTCTGGTTTGCATTCCTAGGCTTCCAGATGTTGGGCGTCGAGTCTTTCGGCGAAGCGGAGTTCTGGCTTGCCCTGATCAAGCTTGCGGGTCTTTGCGCCTATTTCATCTTTGCCATCATCTACGCTTCTGGCGGTCTCATCGGGCAAGATGAGGCACTCGGATTTCGGTACTGGAACGACCCCGGTCCCTGGGTAGACGGCTTCCGCGGAGTAGCCACAGTCTTCGTTTTCGCTTCGACGTTCTACGCCGGTGTCGAGGCGGTTGCTGTGGCCGCTACAGAGACCAGAAACCCATCGGTAGCTGTACCTCTGGCAATTCGACAAGTCATTTGGCGAATTCTCTTCGTATACATTGGAGTTGCCTTCTTCTTTGGGCTCACATGCCCTTCGGATGCGGACGGCCTAGCGAACGGAGCCAGCCGCGCACTTAAGAGCCCTATGACCATAGCGATCCAGAATGCTGGATGGCAAGGAGGCGTGCATCTGATCAATGCGTTCATCTTTATCACAGTCCTGAGCGCTGCGAACAGCTCAATCTACATTGGGTCTCGAACGATACTCTTCATGGCACAAGAGAAAATGGCACCGAAGTTCCTTGGGAGGACGAACAGCCGTGGAGTCCCAATCTACGCCATTGTCTTCACGAATCTATTCGGCGCGATATCCATGATGAACGTCAGTACTGGAGGTGGCCAGGCGTATTCCTACATCGTCAATCTGAGCGGTGTCTCTACCTTCCTTGTTTGGGGTTCTATCTCCTTTACGCACATCCGCTTCCGGAAAGCTTGGAAAGCACAAGGTCGAACGCCCGACATGTTACCTTTCAAGTCGCTCGCTTACCCGTGGAATGCCTATTTTGGGGTATCAGCCAACATATTCCTCGCTCTTGTTCAGGGCTGGACGACGCTGAGCCCATTTGATGCAGGAACATTTGTCGACGCTTACATTATGTTGCCGGTGTTCGGAATCATGTTTGTGGGATACAAAATCATATTCAAGACAAGTTTCAGGCGCAGCCACGAGGTTGATCTTGACACGGGAATGAGGAAGGACTTGGATATGAAGGACGAATACGTGCAGACGGAACCGCATACCGAGCCGCGAGTGAAGCAAGGCTTCGTCCAGAACCTCTGGCGAAATTTCTGAGTAACATGATCAGTGTATTTGGTCGCCTATACGACAATACAACTATCCACAAAACTGTAATTCTATCATGCGACTCTCATTCGCGCAAATGCAAGTAGCTACGAAGTAAGGCTGGTAATGGCCGCTTGCTGATAAATGATACCAACCGCTTCACGCGACAATTCGCGGTGCATGCCTTTTTGCAGGACCCAATCGGTCTAAAAGCCCCGCATCAATCGCCGTGGACTATACCCCAATCTAATAATAACGGTTCACTAAGGTCCAGAAGGATGCGACTCCGTCGAGTTTTCTCGTGGCATTACGCCCAGGAGGATCGCAAACCCTGTCGTGCCGTCGTCTCATTGGCCAAGTTTGATAATAATAGCCGTGGGCCTCTGCTTGCGAGCCTGGTCGCGGTAGCCTAACTGTGCGGGCAACCACGCCGCAATGCTGCATAGTGTCATGCAGCCTCAGAAGTTACTCTTCAACCACCGATGTCATTTGCGCGGTCGTACATCCTTCAATCCGTACTTGCTACACGCTCGCTCGTATAATTGAATTTCGCCGGCTCCCCTCTCATTGGTCGGATTGAACTCAACCAAACCAACATGGCGACGGTATCCGGTAAACCACGCCAGAGAGCCTGGAAACCCAAAGCACGCTCTGGTTGTAAAACTTGCAAGTAAGTCGCTGCGTCAACTATAAAGTGTGCCAATCTCCATAGCGCGGTATGGCTTGCACTATGTTCGTGGCTGGGCTCATAACCCGCAAAGCTCCCGCCGCCCACCGATAAGCCATTCTTCAGCTCCAAGCCGCATCGTCATCAAATCCCACCACACATGAACTTGAAGCTGAATATGTCGTCTTTTAGTACTACTATGCATCCAATGGCCTCTTGCTAATCTGTACAGAATACGCAAAGTCAAGTGTGATGAGGAGAAACCGAACTGCAGACGATGCACCTCAACGGGCCGTACGTGCGATGGCTACGATCCGACTTTCAGACCTCCGCCACCATCAACGCCCTCGCCTCCAGAGTCATCGAAAAGTTCACCTCAGTCGGTATCAAGTTGGAGCTTGACGCGGTCTCATTCGCCAGTGTTCATCGCTCCAGCCATTCGTCTTGATACCAAAGAGGAGCGGGACAGCTTCGAGTTTTTCATGACGCATGCCGTTTCAAATCTGCGCGGTTTCCTCGATTCGCCGTTCTGGCAACGAGAACTGCTTCAAGCGGCTCATCGTGAGCCCGCGATTCAACATTGCATTATCGCTTTGGGCGCTATGTATCGACGCTTTTCCGAAGGCTGCGACTCACGTCTGACCGAGACAGCCATACTGGATAATTATCTACAATTCGCTTTGCGACAGTCTAATCAAGCAATTCAGGACTTGTTGAAAAAGCCGAAGAGCAATGACAAAGTAGTCAAATCAGACAAGATTACGCTTATGACCTGCGCTATCTTGTTCACCAGCATGTGTTGTTTGCAAGGCTACCAAAGAGACGCAATCGAACACGTACGCAGCGGCATCCGGATGTTAAACGAAGTGGACCAAGGGAAAGAAAAGTTTGATCACCCAATAGAACTGGAGTCTATACGTACCATCTTTGTGGGATTCGATACGCAGATTAGGGCGATAATGCCAACGCACATCTCACCATCCTGGGTCGCGAAGCCCAAGACTAGACCGCTGGGCAGTTCAACGAACACGCTGAGTATGTCTGCGCTACATGCGATGTTGGGACACACACAGAGCCTGCTAAACAGCATCCACGCCTTCAACCAAAGAACCAAATTACGCCCCGCCGACGAAGTCGAAGAAGTATACATCGAATACCTCGACCTCATCTCACGCTACCACCGCGGCAAACTCACCATGGACAATCTCTGGAAGCAAGCCCCTGCCTACGGCGAAGAATACACCGAACCCCTCACGGCATTGGAACTAACACAAGCCCAAATGGAATTCCTCCTCCGCGCCCCACGAGCCGATCTCATCCAGAAATTCCCCTGTCTAGGCGACTTCAAACCCGCGCGGAAACCTTTCATCGAACCCTTCGACATGGCCGCACAATTCGTGCTCATCTTCGAACTCGCTGCTAAACTCCTCCCTCTCTCAGGCGCGCAGACACCTATATTTCAAACACCCGTTGGTCCCACATCCGCACTCTGGGCCATTGCTGTGCGCGCACCGTCCTCGTGTCAAGTACTGCGTAAGCGCGCTGTCAAACTCATGTTGAGCCATCCCCGGCGGGAAGGCTTCTGGGATGGCATGCTTGCGGGGCAGATTGCGGAAGAGGCGTTGAGATTGGAGCAAGAACGTGCGCGAGCGGAGATGGGTATCGAGGAAGATGAGATATGTGCGGAGCTGGAGGTGCCGGAGCATTTGCGTATCATTGCGTTCTATTTGACGCATCCGAAAGATAGTGATCGGACAGTCAAGGTTGAGTTTTCGGATGCGAGGGATTTGGCGATTGGAATTCCGGGGTCGGTTAAGTGGATAACTTGGTAGAGGTTGTTCACTTGAAGCGTATAAGAGAGGGACAACCTGTTGTCCACTACTACGCCGGCGCTGCGAGATGTGGACCGATAGCGACAGGCGATGATGTCCTCTACGTCACGTTACAACACACGACATTCTGTGATCTCCCACCAACTCCAGAAAGCCAGAGTCTGGCCCTACATTCGCTCAAGACATTAGCGAAGAGACTTCTCGCTTCCATCGCCCCTCTACATCCGATCAGCTCTGAATGGAGGAAGACCTTGTCCCTCGCTTCGCCAGACTACTCCAACTGCGGACAAAGACATTGTCTTATCGTCACATGAAGAGGGCAAAAGGGTTAAAGAGCACGTCGTGCAATGCACTCAAAACCAAAGAGTGCGCAATTGGAATGTGAATGGATCCATTGAAGCACGCTAGCGAAGGAGGATACCAGGAACTGAAGAGAAGAGGCTGAAACCCAGCAGACTATTCATATAGTCTAGTGGACCGCTCGTTCGGGTAAACATAAAGGATATCACTGAATGTATCGTACAAAGAAAAATATGTAGTCAGCAGTCCAGGAAACCGCATGTGCATGCCACACAATAGCCGTGCCAGTCCTTCACAAACACTGTCGTCCTCTCCGTAAACAATGACAGACACCCTAAGCCCCCTCCTCACCCATCAAAAACGCATCCAGATCACTCACACCCAATCTCCCACCCGCCCTCCTCACCATCCCCGCCGCACCCCTCGCCGCAACATCCCCCTTCTTCCAATTAACCCAACTCGTACTCACAATCCTGGTTTCAGGCTTCGGCCTAGCCGTCAACCTAAGGCCCGTTCCGAGACTACCCCTCAGGACCTTCATATCGATCTTGCCGCCGCGGATACTGCGCAGAATGTGCGAGACGGGACTGTTGTCGTCGCCCCAGACAGAGCCGTACGAGTCCTCGCCTGGGAAGAGGATGCGGGTTGTGAGTTTTGTGAGGGGCGTGGTGTGTTTGGGGAAGAGGGTCGTGATGAGGTGGGCGAGAGCGGCGGGGGCTTCGGCTGAGGTGGAGGCGGAAAAGGAAGGGAAGGTTGTATGTATGCTGGTTGTTTGGCGGGATTCGCGAGGGAGGGGAGGGTCGAGACGGAGGCGCGGGCGCGCGGCGTTGACCGAGACGCCGTGGCGGGCTGTTCTTCGGGAGGAGGAGCGCGTGAAGCTCGTTGCTGGTCCTGATGATGGGGTGGTGAATGATTGTGCTGCAAAGCTGCTGGATGGCGTCAAGCGCTCATCATGGCTTGTCTGGAGATCTCGTTGATCGAGCTGGTTCTCTTGCTGGGGTGTGTAGTAGCCAGAGATGTAGACTCGACGCGCTTGTTTCAACAGGTATGGGTATTGGTGCTTCAACACTAAGACGCCGTACGGATAAGACACGTAAAGTGACAGTCCTTCCGGGTCATCCTCGTTGTCGTGGACGACTCCATCGGTATCAACAGTAGAACGCGCCTGCGCGATATGTCTCCGCCTACGAACACAATCGTTCAACTCGTCATTGATCAATCGAGACGTCAGCATCAGCGCCACGGCAGCGGGGAAGCCCAGCTTCTCGCCCTCAATGTCTTCCATGTGTCCATTCTCGACGGCAATCGTGGGTGGCTTCGCGACTGAGAGGAGAGATGCATCGTGGTGGCGGCGTGCCAGCGGCGCGAGATCGAGTGGTAGACCTGGAACTTCCGTCTTCCGGGCGCGGTCCTGTATCCTGTTGCCAAAACACGTAGTGTAGCCAGCACTGATCGTGATTGCGTGCGGTTCGGTGAGAAGGTAGTCGTAAATTTGGCATCGTATCTCAGTGGGTATCGATAAGAAGCCGCTGTAGCTGCTGCTATCCGTCACGCTCATTTTGTAATCGTAATCGTGGAAAATTTGTGGTATTCAATGGTGCCAAAAGTATGGGTCTTTAGCGGAATTTATTGTAGCAAAAGTTGATCAAGAGTAAAAACAACGTGTCCAACGACGTGTTGTTGTAAGGATGAGTGAAGGATGATGTCGCCGAATCATGGATGTGGGGTGTGGAGCGGTGAAACAAACAGATGCCCTGCAGGAGCGAGTCACCGCGAGTCCCGGTGGCGGCCCCAGAGCCTCACGCGACGAGGCTGGCCAACATTCCACAGACGCCCAATCACGATTTTGCAAACGTCTGTTTGTTTACGCCAAGATGTATGCAGTTATGACTCCTCCCTTACGCTACGGTAGGTCCGTGGAGCTAATCGTCTTCACTATCTTCCGCTCTTTGTTGCTCAGCCAACTTCTGCGCTTGTTCCCACTGCATCGCAAATTCTCGCAGTTGACCCTCTCCGCCACTACTTGCATCTACTACGTCTTTGGGAAGCTTGTGCGCACTGTACTGAGGAGTCGAGAAGCCGTATGCCTCGGGGTCATCTCTCCGTACAAGGCGGAACTCGGGTTGCCATAGCTCCTCAATGTCGTCTTCGTCTGTGTCTTCATCCTCGTCTGAGGTGTCACTAGCTGCCTCAATTGGCACGCCCTTGTCTTCCGGCTGCGCGATCTTCAGTCGCACCGTCGTTTCCTCGAGAGGTGTTGCGTCAGGTACCTCCATAGTAAGGAGTTCCATCCATGAGAAAATCAGAGGATCAGTCCGCACAGCCCATGGGTTGAAATCGACCACCCAGACCTTGTCGTGCGGCGGCGGTACGTATACGTCGAAGGTGAAGTTGGGATCGGGAAATGTGTCGCGCAGTTTCGCGTCGAAGAAGTCTTGAATGGTATCTCGCAGCTTGTCCTGCATGTTAAACAAGAAGTCAAAGTGGTTCAGATCTCGCTGGCACAGGGCAATCAGCCGGCGATTCCGCACAAAGCATCGGAACTCGACGCTCGGATTCAGCGTGATCCACTTCCTCAAGACGAGATGATACGGAATCTCCGGGTCTGGTGTTGTAGATTGGTTGGCAGTGTCGTCGAAGGCGTGCGCCAGATCGTGTGTGACAAAGTCGCTGCTTTTCAGCAGCAGGTAGATGTCGTTTGGTGTCCGGCACTCCATGCTGTTGGTTGCGGCTATCCAAGTCGCGTCTTTTGGCGCGCTCCAGTTCAGCTTGGGTGCGACTTTGCCGCCCAACTCTTCGATGGTCCGCTCGATGGCTTCGTGTGTGTCGCGCCAGTTGGCGCTCGGGTCTTGACCTTCGTCCTCATCGTCGTCATTGTTGTCCGCACCCGAGAATATGCCGCTATCATTGTCTGACCATGATGGGTCGTCATTCTCTTCGGGAGGGAGGATGATGCCGTCTGATCGGAGGTAGTCGAGGAAGGCGGGTGGGAGGGGGATGAGACGCGCTTTGGGTGTCACGGCGCGGTACCTATTGCAATTAGAGGAAGATCTAAGAACGGGAAGGAGTAGAGACTAACTTGGGATGCCATTTGTGGTATGAGCAGTTCAGGATGTGCTCTTTGGTGACTGGTGGGAAGGGCAGTTCTCTGTACCCCACCTCAACCGGCCCTGAGGTGGTATCGTCGCTTGTGGCGTCTTGCGTAGTCATGGTGGTCGTGAATTGTGTGAGAAGGGATGAGAGCGAAATCCCTTAAGTTTTATATCGCAAGGCAATGACTCCATCTCTGGGTGAGTCTGCGCAGTACCAAGGGTAAAGTTTTGGTGGGGCGAGCCATTCCATCATTGCGCTTGGGCCTCCGTGCTCACCTCCGAGCTCTCCGCAAAACCATCCATCAGTCTCGCCAGCGACACGCCCCAACGCGACACCCATCTCCACCCACCACCTCTACAAGCATCATGGCCGACAACGTAGGCCTCACCACGCCAAGAGGTAGCGGAACCTCGGGCTACGTCCAGAAGAACCGATCCCTCCTCCGACCGCGCGACAAGATCCAGCCCTACCCCAAAGACTGGGAACACGCCAAACACCGCCCAAGACAGCCAGACGCCGAGATCCTCGAACACGAAGCAAAGCGCGACATCGAAGTCAAGGTCCTTGAGCTGCGCGACAAGCTTGAAGACGAAGGCGTCGACGAAGACGAGATTGACGACCAGTGCGAAGGCCTACGCCGCAAACTCGATCAGGAACGAAAAGACGGCAAAGATCTCGGTCCTAATGCGAAGCGCCTCAAGTCGCACCAAGTCCACGACCTTGCCAAAGCAAAGGCAGAAGAGAGCGAGAGGTTGCGCAAAGCCCTGGGCATCAGCGCAGACTATGAGGAAGGAAGTCACTGGAGGAAGCAAGAGGAGAGAATGCGCGACAGTCTAGCCAAGAGGGAGGCCGAAGACGAAGAAAGGACTGCCAGAGCTAAAGAAGCCAGGCGGCATAGGGAGGACGACTCGGATTGAGCTTCTGCGAGTCTGCTATTTGGCGTTATGATCCTTTCCGATACCCATAGCCACTGTGCACCACCCTGAAGGCATGGCATTACTGCCTGGAGACTAGCATCCGAAAATCGGTCTCTGACATCTCTACGACATACCTCTAGTACCAAAGATAGCGACTGTCGATTACTGGTGCGGAAGCTGGAGGCACAGACAGGTCAGCTTCGTCTTCCAGCTTACAGTCTAAGAAGCAGACTGACTTCAACAGACGAGATCTAAACGAGCACCCAGTGTACCCTTGTCTACTGGCTTTTGGTTCTAATGCAGGAACCCTTTACACCATGTCAATTGACTTGTCTTGACTGCTTCCGTGACGTCTCACCTCCACTGATGCGCACCTAGGATAGCGCGCCGCTCACAAGCGACATTAGTTTGCATGCGCGGGATACCTATTCCCACTCCGGCGTATCTTTCGGTACTGAATGGACCTGTCAAGAGAACGGAGGCGTACCGCACGTTGCGCAAGGTGCTTTGCTAGGGCTTCATCTTCACCACACCTCGTTCGCCTCATCACAAGTAACGATACCGCATCTAATACACGCATTGTGACAGCCACTACAGCTGAACGATGAACCTTGTCCGTCTGCAACGCACTGTTCGGGTTGGCATTTCTTATCGGCCTAGGTGCTTACCCCAGGCGGTCCAGCTGTCGGC